GAAGCTGCCATGAGAAAATTAAAGTCTTGGTGACCATTGTAGTGTTTAGTACTCTGCTGGTTAATGTTAGTGAGAGAGAGAAATTTAGAATATGTTTTTAATTTTTACCCAAGATAAGCTTTATCAGAGACAGATTATTTTAAGGCACCTGTTTCCCTTATTAGTTTAGCTTCCAGGAGACACAGGTGATCAACTGTTGAGAGCATTTAACAGTGATGGGTTGCTATATTAAAGTCTGTTTTTGCAGAGTCCAAACACTTTTGGGTCTGGGGGTGTTCCTTACCACCTGGGTATATCTGATGATGGTCCTTGGACTCCAGCTCTTTGGTGATCCTGTAACAATTAGCTGAGCAGTTAATTAGGAGAGAACCAGGAAGAGAAAAGCTTGTGGGGTGAGACCTCATTCTTCTGGAATCGGTAACAAGGCAGAGAGCAGGTCCCTGTCTGTGTCACTGTGCATGAGGAGGAGAAGCACTGTGACAGGTCTGGAGTGAGGCACATGGAGGGAGCAATGAAATGAAAGCTCCTACCTTAGCCAGAAAATCTTTTCCCATTAAGTAACCCTGAAAGTACAATTAAGTCTGGTGAGATGGGTAAGGCTGTCCCTCTACCCCGACAATAGGGAAACGAGGAGAGGTGGGACCCCAAAACTCCCCCAGGACTGAGCAAGTTGCTCCGGTGTCCGGAAGGAGATGGATCACCCAGATATTATTACTACCCTGGGCTCCCTGTGTGAGATGGGAGTGGCCAAGCTGGGAACCAGGCAGCTTCAGTCAGTGCTGAAGGCCAAGCCTAGGAAGTGGAGGGTGGTCCTGATCTGATGTCCCCATGCCACTAGGTGCACAAGGGCAGTCAGCTGACCAGTGAGTGGCCCTTCTGGCAGCATTTCAGGCAAGGCCCTATTGGGGGGACCAAGCCCATTGGCCTTCTTTCCCACACTTAAACCGGGGACCCAGCAGCTTTCGGGGAGCCGGTCAGATTGCATGTGCCAGCATTTGGCAGTTTCTTTTTTGGGTTTTTTCATCTCTCATGGTACACTTTAAATGCCACTGCTAACACTCCTGCCTGTGGGGTCAGGAGCCCTGCTCTCCAGATGCTTAAGTTTTAGCCCTAATGTCAGGAAACTCTGGGAGACAAGAGACAAATTTTATTCCAAGTCTTGAATTTTTTTTTTTTTTTTGATAGTTTGGTGGCTTGAGGACAGCTTTAGGAAGACCCGCCAGGAGGCAGGCCGTAAACTGATCTATGGCTAAAGAGCCATCCGGATTATTATGATCCCAATGTGGGTTCTGATCGTAAACTTACTTGCATGCATCCTAGCCTGCTTCCAGACCTGTCCATGCTTAGCAGCCTACCCAGTACTGAGAACAGAGCAGAGAACAGATAAGATAAGGTTCTTTGGAGTCAGAGATTCCATAGGTTCAGGAATGCAAGTGAACAGGAGAGAAAATCAGAAAGAGAGGGTTTAGAGCTTAGGTAAAAATGTGGGGATAAGGTAACTTTTTATTTGCCCGTTCTCTGGCAGAAGTTAGATAATTCCCATGAAATATCGGAGTTGAAACAGCCAAACTTATTGGTATCTGGGGATATTTAAGGCATTTCTCAGAGGAAGAGTGGAACCACAAGGAGGAAACCTCCATGTCTCATGATGCAGCCAAGAGAAAAAAATTAAAAATTAAAATAACCAGTGGGATCCTAGGCTCCTATCCCAGGCATCCCCAGGATAGGTAGTCTGTGGACCAGCATCAGCACAAGTTATCCAAACCGCCATCACAGAAGGGGCAAGGGCTGGGTGTATGTACCAGAGGACTCCCCAGGAGTCCAGACAGCATTCAATACTTTGTCAAGAGAGAATGTGTCGTGATATGCAGCCAAGGACCCCCGGGGGTCCAGCATGAGGAATATATCTCAGACCACAGTCTTGGGAAGTGTTGGGATCGGAAAGGGGAAACTCACCAATCTGGTTAGCAGGTGTGTTGTGCAGAGCGTTACTGGCAGCTGGGCAAATGAAAAAAAGCGGAGCGGGCAGTCACAGGCCCAATAAACCGCAGTACAGGATCCCGGACACAGAGCCCCAGACGCAGAGTGCCGGAAGAACCCGTCTCATCACAGCACCAATGCTGTTTTTTAAAAATGATAAGCAGCACTGGTTATTGTGTGGAAAAGTCATGAGGCATGAGCCATGACAAAACCCGGTATCAGGGCTTTATTGGGGGGCGGGGGACAAAAGAACCAGGCCTAGGGAAGAAGCGTGTGCAGGGAGCAGAGAGAGAGAGAGATAGTGGGGGCAGGAAAGAACAGGGAGAGGAGGGGAGTCTGTGTCTGGCTCTTTAAGGATTCCCATGCACACGAGCAGGTGGGCTTACAGAGCTACATCACACATGCGCAGATTGCATGACCATGCTGCATGCACGTAATCTCCAGCGTGCACTGATGACACAAGACACAAGACCCCTTACTTAGCTCCTGAACTGCGATGTGCGGGCGTGCAGCTGGAGTGGGGGCAGAATTCTAACACCTGACCCACGCTATGCTGAGCAGCATGTGTGTGCTTTCTCTGACTTAATCTCCAGTGCAACACTGTCGGCCTCTTCTCTGTTTTTGAGAGGCCATGGTAGCACCAAGGTGGGTTTCTCCCAGCCCCAGCCTCTACTAGGTCTGAGTTTCAGTTAAGTTTCAGTTTCTGTTTCTGTTTCTGTTTTGGTTTCTGGTAAAGCCGGTAAGGGAGATATTGCATACCAGGCATGATTTAGCACTTACAGTCCCAGCCAACCAGAAACGTATTAGTGAGGCTGCTACTTGTTTAGGATGACCTAATCCCCTATGGCTGCCTATAAAGGGAGCCTGTGAGCTTCTCTGGGGGTTGTCACCATTTTGTTGTGTGACTGACTCCTGCATGCAGGAATTCTCTTAAAAAAATGTTCTTGCTCTTGCATACGTGAGTGGTAGTCTTTTGTGGGGTGATCTGCAGACCCTGACATTCTCAGTGCAGCTCCCTAAAGGCCCTTTGATTTGTCCACTACTTCTTCACTATTAGATTTAACAACCCTCCCTAGGGCTCAAGCAAATCTCTGATATATGGCTTTATTTTGTAATAATGAAACTAGCCCATCTCTGCTTGGTCCAGTGATTACAATTCTCATTTTTTAACCAACAAAAAAATGACATAGAAGGTAAATAATGCATTCAAAAACCCACCTTCAGTTAGTAAATGGGGAAAACAAAATTGAAATCCAGCATCATATGACTTCTGAAGTCATTTGTTCACTACCATCAGAGCACTTCCTTTTATTAAATTATGTTTCCTTTAAAGTTTGCAAGCTCCCCCCCCCTCTCTCTCTCTCTGTGTGTGTGTGTGTGTGTGTGTGTGTGTGTGTGTGTGTGTGTACAGTGCTAGTCATCAAGCCCACAGCCTTGTACATTCCAAGCTGGGATGTTTGCCCAACTCCAAGAAAATTATCTTTTCAAAATTCCTTTTCATTTAGGACCAGCAAGATGGCTCAGAAGGTAAGGTGCTGCCAATAAGCTGATAACCTGAGTTCAGTCCCCAGGAGCCCACATGGTTTAGGGAGAGGACTAACTCCTGCGAGTTGTTCTTTGACCTATACACACACACCATAGCCTCTACATGCACACCATAGCTTCCACATTTGTAAAACAGTATACACACATACATACATACACGCACACACCATAGCCTCTACATGTACACCATAGCTTCCACATTTGTAAAACAGTATACACACATACATACATACACACACAGAAATAAATTAAAAAATGTATTTTATTTATTATACCATATAATTCTAAGGTATAAAAATCATATTAAATACTTAGTAGCCATAATTTCCAGTTAGGAGACTGAAAATCAGAAAGATTTAGAGTCTCAGTGAATATAAAGACAGCTCAAACTGAAACAAAAAAGCCAATGGCTCTAAATCACTCTAGGTTTGAGCATTTTAGTGTAAGTACTGGGGCGGTGAGTATCCAGTGAGGGTCTGGACATTAGTGAGGTAAATGTGCGAGTCCAGTGCATGTCCCCTTCTTTGAAATGTGGACTTTAAAACTTCCCCTGGCTGTCTGAGCTGGCATTCTCCTTCATACTCACATCTCATCTTTTCTGTGTGCATAAAGCAGTTGCTGGTCAATGTTAGGGAGTACAGATTGACTCTGCACACAGAGCAGACAGCAAGTGTAAACCACGCAGTCTGTGAGTGTGTGGAAAACTTATATGCACTCAAAAGACACACCAGAAAGATTCCCCACAGACAAGATTTCACAAATTGTCTGGTTGAATATATTTGTCTGCCAAATCCTCATAATTTTCATTGGAAAATCAAATAATGCTGATTCCTACCTTACCTCGTTTTTTTGTTTGTTTGTTTGTTTGTTTGTTTGTTTGTTTGTTTGTTTGTTTAATGTATAAGAGAGCCAATATCAAGATAACTAATAACTCTACTGTATAGAGCGGTAAAATGAGTATGGAGTTTGTAGTAAGACCCATTGTAAACCAGTGTGTATGACCTTGGGCAAATGACCCTACCTACCTCTGTCCACATTTCTTCAGCTGTAATGATTAAATAACGTAAGGCCCATAGAGATGTAATGATTAAATAAAGTAAGGCCCATAGAGATGTAATGATTAAATAAAGTAAGGCCCATAGAGATGTAATGATTAAATAAAGTAAGGCCCATAGAGAGTTCGGAATGCGGCGGCCATGCAGTCAGCTGCAGTGTGGAGATGAGGATACCATCCCCGCACAGTTACTGCCATCAGTCCTGCAGAGATCTCAGTGCCAGACAGACAGTAGTACCCAATGACCTGACCCTGGAAAAAGAAGTGCAACAGATTAAACCAAGGCATTCAACAGCAAGCTTGGGGCTGGTCCAGTCCAGCATATATGCACACGGGGCTAGAACTGAGATCCTAAAATGGAAACAAGAGTGAATGCGCTATAGAAACAGTCATAGCTGATTGTGTAACAATTTGATTCCAGACAGACTCCTTCATATTGAAGCATAGCCTTCTCCAGGACCAAGAAAGACAAAGAGCCAATCACCTAGAAGGAGAGGTCGGCAGAGGCCAGAAGTTGGTCAGAGCTCTCATAGTATGCCAAAAATTCACCACCACCCTAATATATCCACACCAAGTCTTTAGTCTTTGCAGCAGTGGTTAAGGAATCTTAAGGGGTGAGCTTATCCCAAATGATCTGAATAAGTCCTAAATGTGATTGCTTACATCCTTATAAAAGAGACACACAAAAAGAAGACAACGAGAAGGCAGATCCTGGAGTGATGAGGCTACAAGCTAAGCAACAGCAGGAATTTTAAGAGTCACCAGAAGCTGGAAGAGGTAAGGATCAAACTCTTCCTCACAGCCTTCAGAGGGAACACAGTCCTGCCCACACCTAGATTTGGGACTTCCAGCCTCCAGAACTGAAAGAATAAACTTCCTTTTCTTTTCAGTGGTGATCTGTTTAGCCCTGAGAAACTACTACAGCCCTAGACAAGAGTTTACAGTTCAAACAAAGCTCCACAGCTATAAATGGAGTTCAGCCTAAAGCAAAGTGGCATTTTGCTCACTGGATACCAGACTTGGGCTGTGCAGACTATTCCAACTGTTACCATGGTAGAGAAAAGTAAGTCCCGGATTGGCTCAGGAGCTGGTGGGTTCATCTCAGCCGTCACATCCAGGCAGGGGAGGCAGAACTGGCAAGTCCATAACTTTTTTGCAATAGATGATAAATGTCACCTAAAAGTTGACCATATACAGTTACAGATGACGTTCAGTTTCAGGAAAAGCAAAAGGTAGAAAACATACTGATCGTGCTGTGGACGAATCTGTCCCATGGCTTAGAATGTCAGTTCCCTTTATTCATGTGCCAAACAGATGCCAGCAGACAGGAGCAGTACCAGGCCTAGCTGTGGCACCCTGAAGCCAGCAGCTGTCCTAGCCCTCCTTTACAGTCCCCAGATCTCACCTCCTGAAGTGCTCAGGGAGACCCTCCCTAAGCCAAGAGCCTCTGGGGCTCAAGAAGACCATCTCGTGCCCAATTCAATACGACAGTAGTATGGGAGAAGAAACTGAGCGTGGTAAGTTGTTCTGACCAGTAAGGCTTCTGATCGACAAGCCCAAGAGTCATCATATAATGGGGATTCAACACCCCTTACCCCAAAATAGTATCAAAATAGGGTCTTGGTTTAGATGTGCTCAAAAGCTCGTGTCTAGGTGGCACAGGAAACCCATGTAGACATGAGTTACAGCTCCTGTCTCTTAGAAGCGTCTGTTTGTGTTTATAGTATGAGGTCTACCCAGTCCCTGATCTTCAGAGATATGGGTATAGCTGAGTGGTGCAGACCATTAGACTTAAGATAGAGAAGTAATGTTTTAATTCAGCCATGAAAATATTCCAAAATATGACAATCTGGTATTGAACTGATGTAATCTGTCTTGTGGCCACTGTATACCATCTTGTCCCAATTAATCAGTATGATCCTGAAATAAGAGGATGCAATGCATGGTCAATGACAGTCTCCAAAATAAAAAAAATAAAAATAAAAGAATTTCTCAATTATTTCACCTCTCTGACCTTTAGATCATTTCATTTGTAAGATCAAAAATATGTACGCAATTATCATTAAATTCCTTCCCAGCCCCCACATATTCCTTGGGTGATTCACTGTAAGATATACAATATCTTCATTAAAGCATAAAGCTTGGTCACCATACAAAGGACGATTAAGAAGTAAGGTAAAATAGTTTGTTTAAAAGCTGGCATTCCTCTGTGAGAGGCTGCAGGACCTGTACAAAGAAACTGACAGCCCTAACTCCTAAGCCAAGGCCCAGGAGACATTTCCAGGCACCTCCACCAATACAGCTCTCGCTCTGTCTTTACTGTAATGGCTGGCTGGGATTCCTCTCTGGCTCCTGTATTTCTTGAATCAGATAACTTTCTAAAGACTAAAAGATCACAAAGCAAAATTTAACATGAAGGCTGGGGGTACAACTCAGCAGTATAGAGTTTGTCTAGCATGCACAAGACCCTAGTTATTCCCAGTAACACACACACACACACACACACACACACACACACACACACGCACGCACGCACGCACGCACGCACGCGCTCATCCCATGGAGAAGGAGCTATGCTCAAAAAATGAACTGAAAAGAACATTCTAACGCAAATGTCTCAGAGAGAGGCCAGACCACTGACTTCTCAAAGAACTGATGTTTTGAGCTGCATGCTTGAACTCCCACCTCCTCAGGCTACTCTGTATGTTGCTTGCTATATGGTTGGTGCTAAAATGTTCATTTGGGTAGAGTCAAAAATGGTATTACACTCCTAGCACATCTGTGAAAGCTTGCCTTTTGAACAAATGACCAAAGACCACCAGCCCCCCATCTGTCAGAAGCCGCTGCTACCCAGTGCCAACCGTGAACCTAGTCCTCCCAGACAGACACATGGGGGCAATGAAAAATGGTGTCTGAGGGGTCCCAAGCATGAGCAGGTCTAGCGAAAGTGACAGGTTTTATCCTGACTGCTAAAGAGAAATGTGCTGAGACCAGAGAGACTGCAGAGGTGCATGCCTTCACAATGTGTGTGTGGATCAAAGCACACTCTGCTCCCTGACAGAGCTCCTGGCGGCTTGTTAACCTGGCAGCGTTATCATGAGGCAGCAAGGCTCGTTTCTAGCATCTAACACTGGACACACTGACAGCAACAGGGTTGACGGAGGAGGGAAGAAGCTGTTTTACAGTCTAAAAAAGAGAAAAAAGAAAGAAAAAGCTCTCGGATTTCTCAAGCCATTTGAAATCTGGCCAGAGAAATACTTGATTTCAGATTCTTCAGCTCTCCACAATGATGCTGGAAGTGGTGTCCCCCACATGTGAGGAAATATTTCAGAGCCAAAGTTTTCTCAAGATGTTCCAAGCCTGCAGGCTCCTGATTCTTTTTCAAATTACCAAGATAATAGTATCCCACGGAGAATTGTGATTAGTCTAAACTCTCCACAGCTGTGAGAGATGAATGTACAAATTCCAATAAAGATTCTGCATTTCTGGACTGAATTTACCTACATGACATCGCCTACATGACATCCAGGACCACTTGAAAGAACTAGAGCGGCTAAAACGCTGTTCCATGTCTTCCCTGGCATCTGACGCTGGGAGGCTTGCAACAGCTCCAAGAGGATGCCTGCCCAGCCAATGCCACCCAGCAGTGGCCATTTATTTAGCAGGACTGTGGTGTGTCGGCAGAACAGCAGGGCTGGGAAATTAAACCTAAGTATGTGGGAATTCAAAGAGGCCTTGCAATTCATGATGTGAATAGTCAGGAGGATTATTAAACACCTTGTAACTGAAGGGGTTGGCCTGGAGCTACAAGGGACAACAAAACCAGCTGCCTCACCACCTCTAATTCATCAAACACAGGCTCAGGACATTCTTCGGTTAGTTGGAAAAGTCCACAGGGCCTTGTTTTCTTAATTTGGACACCTTCTTGCAAAAATCCTTCCCTGGACACATGGCACAGTCCTAGGGCAGTCCTGATTCTACTTCTGCCAGTACCCTCAGCTGTTCCTCCTAGCCCATCTCCATCCCTTTGGGATCCTCCACCATCTCAAACCTGCTCTCTTCCAGGGATCCAGGTAGGCTACCTACGTCTTCTTTTCTTCCTCCACTCTGGTCTTCCTAAGGTCCCCCTAGACCTGCAGCTGCAGCCAGCCTCAGCCTCTACTCCCAGCACATCTCCATTCCCTTGAGACTCAGGGTCACATGTGGCCCAGATTCAGGGTACCCCTAGTTCCACCGCCAGTACCCTCCATGGAACCAGACCCTGAACCCTACTTGAGATGCTCAAAGTCACTTCCCTTCCCCCAATGCTAGCCTATCACCCCACCACATGCTGAGACTGCTTTGAGTCTGAACCCAGAGTTCCAACCAGAACTTCAGACCAGAGACCAGTCTCAGCCTGAACCCTGAAACTCAGAGTGGTCCCAACATTGAAAAATAAGCATTATTCAGCTGATCCACAATCTGACAGATTAGGATTATAGCAATCAAAGAACCAAATGCCCACCCAACAAAGGTAAAATCAGATATGCCCACCAAGAAACAGCATGTTGTAGTTTAAAAGGAAATGACCTCCAAAGAGAGGGCACTGTTAAGAGGTGTGGCTTTGCTGGAGTGGGTGTGGCCTTGTTGGAGGAAGTGTGTCACTATGGAGGCAGACTTTGAGGTCTCATATGTGCTCAAGCCACAGTCGGTGTCTCAGTGTCTCAGACCACTTCCTATTGCCTGTGAGTCGAGATGTCAGAACTCTCAACTCCTTCTCTAGCACCATGTCCTGTCTGCTGCCATGCTTCCCGCCATGACAATAATGGACTAAACCTCTAAATTGTAAGCAAGCCACTACAATTAAAAGTTTTCCTTTATAAGAGTTGCCATGATCATGGTGTCTCTTCACAGCAGTAGAAACCCTAAGACACACAACAAATGTCACAGCTTTAGGTACCTAAATCTCATCACAGAAAAACACAAATATGAAAAACAGAAACAACATGTCTCCTCCAGAAACCATTTCTATTATCATATTCCCCGAGAAGAGCAATTTAGCTGAAGAACAAGACAAGAACTTCAATATAGCAAGTATAAACACATTCAAGACCTTAAAGAGGATATGAGTAAATACCTGAATCAAGACCATGAAATCACAAACAGTTGAATGAAATTATAAAAATAATTCTAGATATGAAAATAGAATTTAACAAATAGAATAAAGAAAAGCAAACTAAAATAAAATTTTAAATGAAAAACTTAGGAAGTCAAATAAAAATCTGAGAGGAAAAACTCATCATACTAGATGGAAGAGATTATTACAGGTCTTAAAGGTAAGGTAGACAAAATGGATCACTCAGTCAAAAAGATGCTAAATCTAAAAATAATAAATTGACTAATTAATTAAAATCCAGGCATAAAACATCTGGGAAATCTGGGGCACTATGAAAAGACCAAATCTAATAATAATAGATATAGAGGAAGGATAAGAAACCTAGGTCAAAAGCACAGGAAATATTTTTTTTAAATCATGAAGTGGGCTGGAGAGATGGCTCAGAGGTTAAGAGCACTGGCTGCTCTTCCAGAGGTCCTGAGTTCAATTCCCAGAAACCACATGGTGGTTCACAACCATCTATAATGAGATCTGGTGTCCTCTTCTGGCATGCAGGTAGAACACTATACATAGTAAATAAATCTTAAAAAAAAAAAACATAAAGAAAAATTTCCCAAATCTAAAAAAAGAGTTGCCTATCAAGGTGCAAGAAGCATACAGAACATCAAACAGACAGGACCAGAAAGGAAATTCTCCACAACACATAACAATCAAAACACTAAATGGACAGAACAAAGGAAGGATACTAAAAACTGCAAGGGAAAAAGACCAAGTCACATATAAAGGCAGGTCCATAAGAATAATGCCTGACTTTCTCATGGAGACTGAAATTCAGAAGAGCCTGTACTGATGTTCTACAAGCTCTGAAAGATCACAGATACAAGCTCAGACTACCATACCCAGCAAAATTATCAATCATTATTAAAGGAGAAAGTAAATTTCATGATAAAAACAACTTTAAGCAATTTATGTCTACCAATCCAGCTCCACAGAAGACAGAACGTAAACTTAAGTCTAAAGAGGTTAACCACAACCAGCATCATAGTCCATCACTGATAGGAGTCAGGGGAGGAACTCAAACAGGGTAGGAACCTGGAGGCAGGAGCTGATGCAGAGGCCATAGAGGAATGCTGCTTACCGGCTTGCTTTCCATGGCTTGCTCAGCCTGATTTCTTACAGCATTCAGGACTACCAACCCAAGAGGTGGCACTGCCCACAATGAGGGGGACCTCTCATATCAATCATCAATCAAGAAAATGTACCATAGGCTTTCCCACTGGCCAATCTCTTGGGGGCATTTTCTCAGTTGAGGTTCTGTCTTCCTAAATGACATAAAACTAGCCAGCACAATATCATTGGTCATCAGGAAAAATGCAAATTATAACTACTTTGAGATTTCATCTTATCCCAGTCAGAATGGCCAAGATTAAAATAAATTTCATCAGATGCTAAGGAGGATGTGGGAGAAGGGGAACATTTTCATTGCTGGTGGGAATACAAAATGGTACAGCCATTATGGAAATCAGTGTGAAGGTTCAAAAGGCTAAAAATAGATTTACCACAAGATCCAGCTATGGCTTGGATCACATACTTTGTATCTTACTACAAAGATACCTGCTCATCCCTGTTCACTGCTGCTGTAGCCATGATTGTAAGGGAAAGGGGGCTGGCTAAAGAAACCCACCCTGACCCTGGAGCCCAGAACCAGGGAAAGAAACATAGCCCGGGTCTGGGACCTGAGCCAGAGAAAGGAACATTTTATCCCCAAACCCAGAACCAAGGAAACATGCCCTGACTCTGAAACCAATACCAAAGAAGCACTCTTAG